GAAGTGAGGTGCTTATCTTTTCCACTCAAGCGACGCTAATAATTCCTTTAACAGGCTCTGTGTCACTGCCTCATTAAGGATAGAGTAAATTTATATTAGGATGATGGCGGATTACTGTCATTTTCCATTACCACAATCCTGATCTTAGATCTTAGTTACCGTTCAGGGAATCATAGTCAGAGAGTGGAAAAAATGTAAATAACACATATTTACCTGCATAAGTAACATGTTGGGATGAAGAAGGAAAGATTGTGTCCTATTTTAATCAATTGAACCAAGTTATGTGACGGTGTTTTGGTTTTTTGGGGTTCTTTTTTGCTTTTATCTGCTCTCATCCATCTTCAAATGCACCACATCTGGTTGCTGCCAGCTATGGAAGTGTCTCAGATGAGCTCAAGCAAACCAGCCAACACATATGCCCTCGCATTTTCCTTTCTTATCTGTAAAATGCAATGCCATCCTCACAAAATGTTCATAAACTTTATCTGTTTGGTGTTTTTATAGTGTAAAGTTCTAAAGTTATTCCCTGAGCATCTGTAGAGGATTGTGGTAAGATTGGCAAGACTGAACCAAAGGAGATGTGCACTGCCAAAACAAAACAGCGAATGAAGCTCATGTAAGCATTCAGTAGAGGTGATCATAGCTGCAGTCAAGTGATGGACAGTAGACATCTCTTTCATGATTCAATAATTATCAGAAAGGTGACTGGTTGTTAGCAAAACAAGTCAGACTCCCATTGCCATATGAAAGCGGAGTCTAGCCGTAATGGGAACCATGGTTTCCTGAATACGCAGAGCAACAGGAGCACACCAGATTATGTGGTAAGGCTTTTTCTTTCTTTCTTTTTACTAATGATAAAACACATTCTTGTGTTGGTGTTGAATTTCTAAAATGAACTCATCATAATGACTTGAAAATGAACCTGAGCTGTCCTGAAGTCAGCTTAGCTCTTGCAGCTTTTTTTTTTTTTTGTTGCTAAAAACAAAGTGAATTATGGGCTGTCACTAGGGGGATTGCTAGAACACCTGAAATAGAGGCAGACATTGTACACATGCCGACACAGACACATTGGGTGTGAGGACATGTAAATGGGCCACATACGCTGGAAGTCATAGTAAATTTGTAGACACATCTAATTGCTCTTGTGGTGACCAGGAGCTTAACCACAGTCGGTTCAATGTTGAGCTTAGCTTAGCTTTGCCTGTTGATTATTGAACCGTGGCTGGTT